GGTCGTTCGCCCGGGCGGGCCCCCCCGCCTAAAAAAAAAAAAAAAAAAAAAAAAAAAAACCCTCTTCAAAAAAAAAAAAGGAAATGCACCTTATAACAAGACCCTGTTTATCTCTTTGGAAGTTTTGGAAACATGAATAAAGCTGAGGCCGTGCTGCCTCGCACAGGCAGCGTGACTGCTGGCAGCAGGCCGTCTTGTGTCAGCTCTTCCCCGCTGGGCCACCCAGACGCCTGGTTCGCAGCATGCCTGAGCCAGCCAGAGTCCCTGCCCTCAGTTAGGGCTAGGTTCTCACACCCGGGGTGCTGGGGAGAATTCGGAGATGGCCGCGGAATACTGTTAACGCCACCGACTTCCTGGTGAAGATGGGGATGAGGGTGAGGTGATTTGTTTGAGGTATGATTCACATACCATAAAGTTGATCCATTTAAAATGTTCAGTGCCACCTTACCACAACAGCTTTCGGACCATTTCGGTCATCTTCCCTCAAGAAATCCACACCCCCACCATCTCTCTGCATTTCCCCAGCCGTCTGGCCCCAGGCTAGTCTACGCTGTCTGTGGATTGGCTGCTTCAGACATTCTATACAGAACCGTTATCCTACATGCGTTTATTGGTGTACCAGAATTCTGGTCCTTTACGGGGTAGTGTTCCACTGCATATATATATATATATGTGTGTGTGTGTGTGTGTGTGTGTGTGTGTGTGTGTAGATTTTTACCATAGGATATGTGCACTTGCCAGAGAGACAGTGAGAGGGAAAATGAGAAATCACCCCTAGGTGGAATGGCCACACTGCAATCCCTTTTCCTCTATTATCCTCCTGTGGAATTGTAGGCATGCATGCATACACATGTGCTTGGCATGTTTCAAGCTAGAACTGCGTTAACCATGTTTGCGTCCACCACCTTAACCACGTCACTTGCCAGCCCGTTCTGTGTGCACTCAGCTGTCTCCTGTCCCGTCGTTTCAAATGCGATTAGGAACGTGTGCATTGCTGTGTGGAGACGGGTCTTGTTTCTCCTGCATATGCAGGTGGAGAGCCCCCGAGGAACTGCTAACAACTCATGCCAGTCCTCATTCTCACCAGCATATATGGACCCCGATTTCTTCAAAACCTTGCATAACCCTGTCAACTTCGGTTGCTCTTTTTTGGGGACAGGTTTTTGATATAGGGCACGTGTGCTGGCCAGAAAGACAGAGAGAGACAGAAAGCAAGCAATCACTCCCTCCCCACCCCACCCCCCGGAGTGTGGCCACTCCGCTGTCCCTTCTCTTCCATTCTCTTCTTGGGTTCCTGGGCATGCAAGCACACGTGCCCAGTGTGAGCCTAAGCCACCAGGTCCGAGACTCAAACTCTGGTTGACTACTTGGGAGTCCAGCGACAATAGCCATTACGCCAACTGCTGGTCCCCTTTGGTTGCTCTTTCTGATTATAGCTATCCCAGTGGCTATGACGTGGCCTCTCGGTGGCTTGCTCAGCGTGTTTTCATGCGCTTATCTTCCGTATGTACATATTCTTTGGAGAAAAGTCTATTTATACCCTTTGCCCATTTTTCAGCTGGTTACCATTTATTTTTGCTATAGGGTGTGTGTGCTCACTGGAGAGACAGAGACAAAGGGGAGAGAGAGAAGTGAGAAAGCACCTCCTGGGGGGGGATGGCGGGGCCTCGACCCCTTTCCCCCACTTTCCTCTTAGGGTGTTGTGCACATATGCACAACCACCTAGTGTGTTTGCCAAACCACCAGGTCTGGCTCCAACTGCACGTGTGGGACCCTGAGCCACCACGCACTGGCTGGCGATGGTTTCGGTGCAGCTGCTGCGCTGTTTGCTGTTTTCTATAGCCTGGGTAGTTGCTCAGCACATATACAATCTGCAAGTGTCTGTCCCTCCCTGTGGTGGTCTTCCCGTTCTCCTGGTGGTGTCCTTCAAAGCACGAGTTTTTACTGGACTTGACATCACTCCTTTCTGCAGCTGCTGTGCACCTGTTGTCTTGTCTGAAACTCCATGGCCACCAAGACCTATCCCTGTGCTTGGTCTAAGAGTGTCAGTCCTAGCTTGCACGTAGGTCTGTGATTTTAAACTCAGTCTTTACATCCCGCACTTCACGCTTGCACTTTCTGCACAAAGCAAGTGTTACTTTTGTTTTTCTATGGGAGGGTCTTCAAAAAGTGCTGGAGAACGCACACACGGTCTTCGCGGATTTCGGCGGCCTGCACCCCGGCGGTCCTGACCCGCTGCGTCTCCCAGGACCCGCCGCCGGCCCGGGCGTCAGAGCGGACCTCCCGCCCCCGCAGCCCGGGGTCCCCACGGGAAGGGGCGGCGC